AGTCTCTACTTTTCAGTCTTTAGGGCTGACTTTTCATTAAATTTTGTCTTTTTGACTCATTTTTCCCCTCATGGTTTCCCCTGAGAACAATAGAATTTGGTCCTTTTTGTCCCCACCCAGGATTTCCTCTGGGAACATTAGAACTTGGTTCGTGTCTAAGCCTCCAGGACTTAGACTTTTGGAAAAGGGTCCTCCCAATTCTATACAAGTATTTAGGCTAACAACATATCATCTACAGAACAGGCTTTATGTAATTGAACTGTGTCCCTTATCCCCTACAACAACAACAACAACAAAAGGATCTACACTAGAATTCATAAGCTATCAAGACAACTCTCCTTCCATTTCCGATGAATTTCTATGTCCCAGGGTCCCTTGACCAGAGGAAAATATTCTAGGTCACTAAAAAATCAACCCCCTTCATCATACCTGCACAGCCCACAAAACTCACAATATCAGTGAAGGGCAAGGCTTCTGTTTGATCTCCCACATTGTAGCTCTATTTTATACTGCTTCTCAGTTTCAGTTCCTGAGTGTTAGGTTCCAAGAGCTCCTCTAATGCCCCAATATTGCAACTCTATTGCTGCAAGCTTGCATACTTGCATGGCCTGGGAATTTCTCATTGCTCCACCACTGCCTAAGTCTGATGTTACCATAGATCCTCAGGCCTTCCTGCAGAAAACTAGAGACCATGTGTATCCCACTGACTTTTGTCTAATCTCTCAAGTTGGTCCCCATTTTTAAAAGCTAAGACCAAGGTATTAACTTCACAAGCAATGAGGTGTTAACTGGGCCAAAAGTTCTTCATTATAGTGGAGGGGTTAGCTCAATGATACACAAGAGAATGGCATTCACCATCATCCTCCATATTGGAACAAAGGCCTCATCCCCATTAACCCTGAAACAAGGAGTTAGCCTTGTCAAGTGAATCTCACACCTTATTAAGGAGATAAAAGAGGAATTCAAGAAGTCTTACTAGCCTCCTCCTGGGCATACACTTAATATAATAATACATAATAATTAGAATCCAGTTTGGAAAATGATCTGCGTAGAAAGAATGAAGCAGTGTACCTTGAGACATTTAAGAACGGTGGGATGGCTTCAAGCTGGGGGAATCAGGGATGGATTCATATAGAGGAGATATCACAGATGCATTTTCAAGGAGGGGAAGGATATTGGAAGGAAGAAGTCTGGAGAGAGTGTCTATTCTAGGTATGAATGACTGCCTACCCAATGGTACAGAGGCAAGAGGAGGAAGATGATTGAGGAATAGTGAGTGGCCTAGTCTAATTTAGGAATAGAGTGCATGAAGGGGCTAACCAATGAAAACAAGTTTGAAAAAGTAAATTGGAGCTACTTTGTGGAAAGAATCACCAGCTCCTCATTTAAAATGCAAATGTCTTCAGACTCCTTGCTGTTCCTTTCACACAACACTGCAACTCCTGACTATGGTTTATTTTCTCTGGCTATCCCTCAGGCCTGGCACATAATAGGTGCTTAATAAATGTCTATTGATTGATTGATTGATTTCTGTTTCCTGACTTCCTCAGCTATCTTCAAGTCCCAGCTAAAATCCCACTTTCTACAAGAAGCCTTTCCTAATTTCCCTTAATGCTGATATCTTTCCTCTTTTAATTATCTTCAATTTATCCCATGTATATCTTGTTGGTACATAGTTGTTTGCATGCTGTCTAGACTATAGGCTCCTTGAGAGCAGACACTATTTTTTTGTCTTTCTTTTCCTTGCGTCTCCAGAGCTTAGCACATTGTCTGGCACATAGTAGGCATTTAATATAGGCTGGCTAACTTTAGTCAAGGACCTAAAGAGATGGTGATGGGGTATCACTCAGTTTCAGAAGCCGAGACCTTTGCCCCTTTTCACCAAAAGGAATTTGGCTCCCATTTGTTTACAGACCCCGGAAGACCCATAAATTTTAGATTCCTTATAGATTCCCCCTATCTCCCTTTGAAAGCCTTAGCCCCACCTTTTGAACAATCTGGCTCCCATTTGTCTATGGGTCCCAGAAAACCCTTAAAATTTTTAGGTTCCTTATCTAATCCCCTTAACTCTCTTTGAAAGCCCTAACCGTACCTTCTGATCCTTTCAAACTTCTACCTTCCAGTTCCTTCATTATCTATTCCCATTGTTTATTCATTCCCTCAGACCTTCCACCTAGACCCTTTTCCCAACCACCCCCCCTTTCCTCTGGCCACCCAAAGTTACTTTAGTGTATATAAGATCCACCCTGGCCCCCATTCAAACGCTGAGGATCTCTCATGCCTAGAGGCTGAGCTTTTCTCAAGTCTTCTAGTCCTTACTGGCGTCACCTGGCCTATGTGATTTATCTCTAATAAACTTTTTCTCTGGCTGGAAGAAGATTTGAGTTGAATTCACTCAGGCATGGCCCGGCGTCGCAATCTTGGGGGGGTCCCAGCACCCCCAAAACCTTTAGACCTCTTCAATGTGACACTTGAAGGGGTAAGTTTTGATACGAAAGAAAAGTGAGGGGCATAGGACAAACCCAGGCACTAGCTAGGTGAAGAAGCCCAATGTGAGAGTAATACATATGTGTGTTTTGGAGTGGAGATGAGAGGACTGGGGAGATGGCTCAGAAAATGGAAGGCACAGGGAGGTAGAGACTAAATTGGCCTGATTCACAACCTTGTTTAAAGCCAAAAAAGTCTCATTTGCCTTTGGGTAGCTATGCTTTCCTCTCTACTAGGTGATGAGGTCAGCGAAAGAGAAAGTGAAGAGGGTGTGGGGGTTTGGGGTGCTCTTAGATGCACAAAGGCACCCCAAGATCGTGGGAAAAAGCCCAAATCATGGCACGGATGTGCCTGAATGACTTCAACTCAGATCTTCTTCCAGCCAGAGAAAAAGTTTATTAAAGATAAGCATATAGGCCAGACTCCAAAGGAACCCAAACATCAGTGATCTAAATAGGGTTCAAGGTGGTCAGGTGACGCTCACAAGGACAAGCAGCGCAAGGCAGTCTAGAAAGCTCAGCGTCTGACTAGGGGCTGGGGCTAGGGTGGTCAGGCCAGGTGACGCCCGTTATGGGCGGGCATGAGGGGTCTCAGCTTCTAAGCTTGAGAACAGCTCAGCATCAGAATGGGGGAAAGGTGAGCCTTAAGTACAGACTGAGGGAGGGGCCATCCAGTTTGGAGTGATGGGAGGAGGGGTCCAAGGAGTGGCCAAGCAGTTTGGGGTGAGGGGAGGAGGGCTCTAGGGAGATCTGGATGGGGGTGGCCAGCAAGCTGGGACGAAAGGAACACTGGCACCTAGCTAGGATTAAGGGTGGGAATGGCCAGAAAGGCAAAACAATGGGAAAGCCAGTTGATGGGGGAGGTGGACCATTTGGAAAAGGGTCCAGGTGAGAATTTCCGTTTGGAATGTCTGAGTGATTTGAACAGACAATTAGAATAGATAATGAAGGGAGCTGGAAGGAGAAGTTTGCTTTCAAAGGGAAATAAGGCAGTTTCTAAAACTTTAAGGGTTTCCTGGGACTGGTAAACAAAACTGAAGCCAGGTTCTTTTTGTCAAAGAGAGATAAGTGAGTCTACAAGGAATCTCAAAGTTTTAAGGTTTTTCTGGGAATTGTAGGTAAACCTCTTCAAAAGAACTGATAAATAGAAGTATATACAGAATGATTTTACATATATGTGTCTATACATATATATGCATATATATACATCCATATTTGTGTCTAATAGTAGCCATCTTTGAAAGGAACGAAGAAAAAAAAGAAAGTTGCATGATAATTTTATTATATATTTAAAAGGAATAGCAAATTGTATATAATGGATTTGCAGTTTCATGTGCAATCATCTTTTTTTTTATTCTACTGTGTTATGGAAATGCTTGTGTTATTTCATAAATTAAGAAAAAAAAGGCTGGAGATAAGTCAAAAGGCCTTTTATTTTCCTCCTCTTTTTTGTTTTTAGTGTATCTATGTAAGCAAAGTGGAAAGAGGACCTAAAGGGGAAAGTTGAGGTAATTATTTGGCTGATTCAGGTATAGCAGAGGTATACCTGAGGGCTGGTAGATAGAGAGCTGGCCCTTGGACTCAGGGAGACCTAAATCTCATCTCTTGCTCATACCTGCTGTGTGAACATACACAGATTATCTAACCTCTCAGGGAACTTTCTAAGATTGTAAATTACAAGAAGGGTTGCCAATCTGCATCAATGGAGAGAGTTTCCACACTGGGAGTTCATGCATGTGTCCCTACCCTACCCCACACACATGTGAAATCACAGGCCCAAGGCCCTTCAGCCTCTTGGGGGGGGGGGGGAATGGGTTTCTTAAATCAAAGATTAAAACATAGAAATCAATAGCTACCGAGAAAAAATTATTTTATTAATTTGAATTCTATTACATAACTGTCTATAGCACCTACATTCACTGGATAAACTCTTTTTTTTTTTTTACTTTTTTTTTCCGTTATCTCCATTTTGTCATTTGGTTTATCAAATTCTTCTCAGAGGGGGAGAAATGAACAAAATTATTATACCAACCAACTCACCAGAGCCAAGAAATCTGTTTATTTGAAGCTGATTCCAGCTGGGGCCTTTAAGAAGCAGGCAGTCCAGCATAGATCAGCCTGGTGCCACTGTTGGAATGGGATCAAGAAAGCCCGTTCATTCTCCCTCACCCTCCCTTCTGCTCAATCAGGCCAGCCCAGCCAATGACCCACCTCTCTCTGCCAGCCTCCCCCCTCTGATGCTCACAACAGCCACGGCCCTGCTGAGTTCCCTAAGACGAGAAGCAATAGCTAATCAGCAGGGGCACACAGCATTTTGCAGGTGCTAAATAATTGATGTCTCGGCAGGTTCAGTCATCACCTTATTTTTGCTGTAGGGCAGGATTACAAAAGCCAGGCCCCAGGCCAAGCTGAAGAATTCCTCCTTGTGACCCTCACCCCACACAAGTAATTGCTTTTTGCACAACCTCTTCAAAAGAGAGAGACGTGACAAATTTCTGAAAGGTCAACAATCTGTTTTTAAATCTCAGCAAAGGAGAAAGTTAACGCCCAGAGAAGCCAAACATACAAGATTAATGATCTCCACGTACTGCAGGGAGAAGCCAACACCAGCTGGGGAATAGGCCTGCCATGGACAATGAAGGTGATGCAGGCAAAGCTGCTGATGTGTTCATTCAGGGCTGAATTTAAATCATGGCTGAGGATTATACGGGGTAAGTACCAGAGAGCCAGTTTATCTTCCTTTTATCATGTTTATGAAGCCCAAAGAGAAAACAAGTCACATCTCCCACACAAGGCCTTCCTCTAGACAACTGCAGTCCTTTTTTTTGCTAATAACTTCCTTATGTTTCTGTCTACCTCTTCCTGGTATTCACACACCATATTTGAATTCATACATATTCTAGGGAAGGAAAACATGTTGGCTAAACAGAAAAAATGAGAGGTTTTCCCCCTTAATATTTCTAAAACTCCTTTTAATAACGCAACCTTTTATATATAAGATAACATTGTTTCTTCAAATAGCCATTTAGGAAATACGTACGTACATAATTGGTTCATGACCCCTGGGCAAGTCACTTAACCCCGTTTGCCTCAGTTTCCTCATCTGTAAAATGAGCTGGAGAAGGTAATGGCAAACCACTCCAGTATCTTTTGCCAATAAAATCCCAAATGGTGTCACAAAGAGTCTGACGTGACTAAAATAACTAATCAACAATATAATAGACCTTGAGGTGGGGTTTGAATCCACTATTTACAAACATATTCTCTCTCTCTCTCTCTCTCTCTCTCTCTCTCTCTCTATATATATATATATATATATATATATGTAGATAGGTTGATAGATAATAAATATTTCAGAAATATATCTATATATGTATATTCTCTCTACATATATATTCTGTCTCTGTGTACATATATACATATTTATATGGGAGCACATATGTACATGTATTTATATATGTGTACATATATACATATATATGCATACAATTCATTGCTTATATTGTCACTGATGTAGACATACATATCACTATAGAGGCAATGAGCTTAACACTCTTACTCACCAAAGCTTTTACCAAACTTGGTTATAAGTAGCAAAATGAACAAGTTAATACAAGCATCTGAGTGCTCCTAAGCAAGTCATCAACCTCTTTAGGTCTCAATTTCCTCTACTGTAAAGCTAGAGGGTTGGATCTGATGGCTCCTAAGGGCCTTTCTAGCTCCAAAACTGCCAGAATACTGAACTACTTCCATTTGAAGTATCTTGGGAAGATTCTGAAAATCACCTGGCAAGATAAGATGCCAGACACTGAGGTCTTTTCTTGAGCTGAACTGCCAAGCATTCAAACTCTACTGCAGAGAGCCCGACTCTGGCTACGTTGTTCAAATGCCAAGCATGTTTGCCTGAAAGACTATTGCCCTCCCTCACATATATTCAATTTATTTGCCAGTCATGACATCACCTTCTTGATGCCATGGTCTTCTTTGAGAACAAAGGACAAACAACAATAACAATTTTATGGAGAATTCACACATAGATGTCAGAAGCAATGATACAAGGACATTCTCAAGTTCTCTCTGAAGAGCTTTAGTATCAATTGTGAGACATAGGAGACACTGGCACTAGACTCCCCAGAATGGTGTGCCCCCATCAAAGAAGGTGCTGTGCTTTATGAGCAAAGCAGAATTGCAGGAGCTCAAAAGAAATGTGAGATGCACAAATTTAGAGATATCTCTATTCCAAATGTTCACGTGGGCTATTTGGTTCCAAACTGTGGTAGAGCCTTCCGAGCTCATGTTGATTTAATCAGCCACAGTTGGACACACTGTACCTTGACCCCGACATTGTGATGCCATCTTGGTTCTCTTCAAGCACAAAGGACAACAGCCAGCTCCAAAGTCGTTACGAGTCCATTCCCTGAGTCATACCTCTCCTTGCTCATCTCTAATGGAGGGCCAAGGAATGGTTTAGTGACTGAAAACAACAGTGGTTAGAGGACAATGAAATGAAGCTAAAGGTCTGGATGCTCCCCAAAGCCGAAAATCAGCCTCTGAAAAGCTGAGAACTGGCTGAACCAGAAAATTTCAAAATGGCATTGGACTCCTGCAGCTAGGAAAAAAAAAACCTGATAAAATAGTGTTGGCCTCATACATCAAGAGTGAGGAACCTAATGCCCAGAAGCTGCCTCTGCCTCCCAGCTTCATTTCATCCAACACAAAAACCAAATACAACAACTGACCATAGCTGCAGAAAAGGGAGAACTCTGAAATTCTCTGAAAGTCACATCCCTCAGAGCCTCCAGATGGGAATATTCCTTCAGGAAAACAGACCTCTTTCTCTGTAATGAAAAATGACACTTTTTTTAAAGCAGGGGGTTGAGGAATTTTTCCATTGTAGCTGAGGGGAAAAAATGGATTTTAAGAATCCTCATTCATCCCAACTTTAGGAATTAGAAGTCTTTAACGATAATTTTGGGATAGATAGATCCATATAAATAAATATGTTTATATGTACATACAGAGACACAATATATAGATATATTTCTGAAATATTTATTATCTATCTATCCCATGTTTACTCATTTTTATATTTAGAAGATTGCTCCTTTTTTTTCCCCAGAGAAGAATCTGCACAATCTCTCTCTGCTCCTTTCCCTCTCCATCTATTTCTATCTCCCTTTCTGCGCCTCTCTTCCTCACTCCTTCTCACATTAATATTTCACATTTCTACAGCACTTTAATGTTCACAAAGCACTTTATGTACATAATCACACTTGAGCCTTTATAACTGCCTTGTGAGATGAATTCTACTGGTATCATTACATCCATTTTACAGACGAGGAAACTGCAGTTCAGAGAGATTATGTGACTTGCCTGTGGTCTCACATTTAGTCAAAACCAGGCTTCTCCTCTCATCCTTTCCTACTTCTTTCCCCTATTTTAACTGGCTTATAATATGTACTTAAGACATAACATGAAGCAGCAATGTTGCATAGTAGAGAGAGAATTAGCGTCAAAGTCAGGAGGTGATGAGTTCAAGTCTTGCCTCTTACATATACTGGTTGTTTGACCAAAGGCAAAGTCACCAAGTGTCTCAATGCCCCAGGCAGCTCTCTAAGAGAGAGAGAGAGAGATCTGTGTGTGCATGTATACCTATACATATATACATGTACTGATGGGCAAGTCACTTAGCTTCCTTCTACCTATGAAATTGTGGGACCAGTATATATACATTAATAAAATTATTAAAAGTCTAATAAATTATCAAATAATAATGCATGTATTATAAATATATATAATACATGTATATGTATGTGTAGGTATTGTATTGGGAATGTATTGTATACTCATATGTATATGCATACATATGTACACACATTTACACAGTGGACAAGTTGTGTATGTGTATGTGTATACATGTGTGTGTTTATGTACATATACACATATGCACATGGGGAATTTATATGTAAATTTATATCTATATATGTATATATGTATAGAACATCTATGCATGTGCATGATACACACATATCTATGTGTAGCTATATATGTGTACACATGTACATGCATGCTTATATACACATTGTGTACATACATGATGTATTATGTATACATTGTCATTTGCTATATTTAATATCGATTTATTGTTATTAATAATTTATTGCATTAACATAATACATCATATATACTATATATTAATATCATATATAATATATACTATGTATTAATATAGTATATAATATATACTATAACATTATATTAACATAATATATAACATATTACATTGTTAACATAATATAAGTTATTAACAATTATAACAATATTTTAACAATTTAATTTCCCCTAGTTTTTTTTTCCCTGTGGCTCAATGGACCATCATGAAATCAAGGTTGCCTGCCCTTGTCATACATATATCTTAGCTACAGGAAAATGAATCTTCCCTCATCTGAGAAGCCATCCATAAATCACAATGGATTTATTTTTCAAAGAAAGTGCTTTGGCTTTGTTGGTATCCTTTCAGATCTCTAGGAACCACATGATTGGAAGTGCCTACATCTGTTTCAAGCCTGGGGAGCACCGGTATGTACAAGCTAATCGCTCAGGGAGGGACAATTGAGGGTTGACAGGAAATCTTGGTTCCTCTCTGTTCCCTTACCTGTCCAAACAGAGAGAGAGGAGGACAGAAACTTATCTCTGCTGCATTCTTCAGTTCCTGTCATTCTATCTCAAAGAAGCCTGGGGGTCTTCAGAAGGTTCTGACTGTTTCTCATTCTCTGGGCTGGAGACTACTCTAAAGACGTGCATATAAATGTGTCTTTCTCACAACCATGTAGTTGCCAGGTAAGAGCATGGTTTGGGGTTGCACTTTCCTGGGGATTCCCTGCTTTGGTATGTAACAGCAAAAAGCTCTGACTTGCTCCAAGATAAGACTTAGGCAACAAAGCATAGTTCTAAAAAAATAGTAGGCAGACCTTACTACAGAAGGGCAACAGCAAGAATACAGCCTGGGAGAAACTATTCATTCTCACTGGATTTTCCTTGAATGTGAGATGACCAGATTGGGAGTATATCCTATAAGCAAAAGTAAGAAGTGTAGGGGGAAAATCCACCTTAACTCAAATAAGTTCTGGGTGTCAGGGTCCCTTTTAATGGATTAAATTTACCAAACTGCATAATGAGTAAGAATGAAATCATACACCAAAGTTAAAGCTGAGATAAATACTTTCCCCATCAGAGCATTTATCATTTCAACAACCCAAAGGCAGTGTCCTCTGGAGGCAAAGGAAGTAGGCTCATAACCCAGCTTTGCCACTTACTCCAGGTATGACATTAGGTAAATCAACTCACCTCTCTGAGCCTCAGTTTCCTTATCTATAAAATCAAGAGGTTGGATTGATACAGAGATGAGGGACTTGGAGCAGATTGAGATACACATTTTTGAACATGGCCAATACATGGGTTTATTTTGCTTGTCTATGCTGTTCATTTGTTACAAGGGAGACTTTTTTTCACATGGGGGGAGAATTTAAGAAGAAGCAGGGGATTAGCAATTGGGATGACAAAAAAAGGAGAAGAAAAGGAAGAAAAGAGGGTAATCACAAAATAGAACAGAAGGAAGTTCAGAAGAAAACACAGATAAGTAGGACACCATGTTGAATGTACTGCATTTAAAAAATATATAAGCCATACGTAATAGAGATTTGTGGTATCATGTACAATTTTCTTTTTACATTCTATAGATGTGGAAATGCTGTTTGGTGACATTTATCAAGTACAGAACAACAAAAAATAATACGTTCCTTGCAAAAAAAAAATAAATTAAGAAGTTGGACTAGATGACGTCTCCTCCCTCTCTAAATTCTATGAAGAGCTCTTTCATCTTGCTGTACTCTGGTGTCTTACCTCTCCCTAAAGCCATCAAGGTCATCTTCAAAAAAGCCCTCACTTGGTCCATGCATTCCCTGTGGCCGTCACTCTTTTGTGGTGAAACTCCTTGGAAAGTCCTCTACAACAGGCACCTCCACTTCCTTTCCTCTCACTATCTCCTTAACTCTCTGTGATCTGTCTTCCAACCTTATCATTCCACTGAAACCGCTCTTTCCAAGGTTTCTAATGATCTTGATTGCCAAATCCATTGACCTTTCCTCAGTCCTCATTGTTCTTGGCTTCTCTGCAGACTTCGATACTGTTGGCCATCCTCTTCTCCTTGGTTTTCTCTTCTTTCTAGGTTTTCATGACACTGCTCTCTCTTGGCTCTCCTCCTGCCTGTCTGACCATTCTTTCTTGGTCTTCTTTGCTGGATCTTCTTGTGGAAGAATACATGGTCAATACATGGGTGTCCCCTAAGGCTCAACCCTGGGCCTTCTTCTTTGTTCCTCTATACTATTTCCCATGGTGATTTTATCAAATCCCATTGATTCAATTACCGTCTCCATGCAGATGATTCTCAGGGATCAATTTGCCCAGCCCTAACCTCTCTCCTGACCTCCATATCTCACATATGACTGCCTATTGGACATCTTAAACTGGACGTCCCATAGATTTCCTAAACTCAGCACGTGCAAAACTGAACTCATTGTCTTTTCTATCAAACGCTTCTCTCTTCCTAACTTCCCGATTACTGTTGAAGTCACCACCATCCTTTCAGTCACCTTCCAGGATGATCCTTGACTCCTCACTGTTTCTCACCCTGTCACACACCCCCTATCCAATAAGTTGCCAAGTTCTGTCCTTTCTATATTTGCAACATCTCCCATATACACCCCCATCTCTTCTCCAATGCTGCCACCACTGGTGCAGGCCCTTAGCACCTCAAGCCTGGACAATTGCAGCAGCTTGCTGGTGGTCTTCGTACCTCAAATGTCTCTCTACTCCAGTTTATCTTCCATTGAGCTATTAGATTGATCTTCCTAAAGTGCCGGTTTCATTATGTCACTCCCCTATTCAGTAAATTCCAGCGGCTCGCCTATCACCTCTAAGATGTAAAATGTAAAATCCTCTTTGACTTTTAAGCTCCTTCATCATCCGGCCCCTTCCTAACTTTCCAGTCTTCTTACACCTTTCTCCCTTCCATATACTTTATGATCCAATGATACTGGCCCTCCTGGCGGTCCTTTACATAACATACTCCCATCTCTGGGCATTTGTAGCTGTCCCCCATGCCCAGAACCCTTTCCCTCTTCAACTCTGTCTCCTAGCTCAAATGGCCTCCTTCCGTTCTCAGCTAAAGTCTCACCTTCTATAAGGAGTCTTGCTCAGTCCTCCTTAATTTTAACACCTTCACTTTGAGATTTTCTTTAATTTATCCTATCTCTATCCTATTTATACACAGTTGTTGGCATATTTTCTCCCCTATTAGACGGTGAGCTCCTTAAAGAAAAGGGCTGTCTTTTGCCTTTCTTTGTATCCCCAGTGTTTAGTACAGTGCCTGGCATATAGTAGGTGCTTAATAAATGCTTGTTGACTTGACAGTGGCATAGTGTTTTCTTTTTCTTTTTTTTTTTTTTGGTAAGGCAATCAGGGTTAAATGACTTGCCCAGGGTCTCACAGTGGCAGAGTGTTTTCAATTTCAACATGTTTTCACATACATCTCCTTGACCTATAGCCACCCTGTGAATTAGGCAATGCAGGCATTACACTTATTTTGCTGACAGGGAAAGTGAGACTCAGTTCTTACCACTGGTATGGTGGTGTCGGGATCCAGTTCTGGGATTTAAATGGGATTTGCACAATGTTCCCATCCTTCTTCCATCACTGAAGAACCCCTACTCCTTTGAGGTTTATGCTATTCATATCTAACACCCAATCAAAATCCTGGTAGCTGTTGTCTAGAGACCCCAAAGTCACTCCCCTCCTTTTCAAAATGAGTTTGGTACATGGTTCATAATTTTTTTCTCCTACTCAACTCCTGCCCTAAGACTAGGGGACTTCAACATACATATTCATTCTCCCTCGAGTACCCTAATCACTCAGTTTTTCAACTTACTCACTTCCCATGAGCTACCCCTCCACCCAACCTCAGCCACATACAATGATGGTCATACTCTTGATCTTGCTGTAATCCACAAAGGTATCACCTATCTTAAAGAATTCTGAATTCTCCTTATCTGACCCTAATCTATTGGCTTTTCACCTTTGACTCTCTTTACAAAACCCTACTCTTCATCCACCCCACCAACTCCACTCCCTTGACCCCTCAATTCTCTCCCAGGCTACCTCTCCTGCACTACCCGCTTTCTCCTCTTCACCCCTTGGTGAACCAATTCAAGACTACTCTCCTCTTCTTTTGAATCCCTTTCCCCCTTATCAGATCATTGATTATGTCCAGCCAAATCGCTCCTATATATGTGCTGCTAAACACGGAAAATCTAGCAATCATTCTGACTAGATCCACTACTAGTTTATGTTACACAACCTCAACTGAGCCCTCACTGCTGCTAGGCAATCCTATTGTACCTCTCTCATCAACTCACTATCCCACTCTTCAAAACGTGGCTCTTCCAAATCTTTTAACCCCTCTTCAAACCTCGCAAGGCTCCCCTCTGCCCATTCTCTCAGCTGAGGACCTTGCCTCACATTCACCATGAGCTCCTTCTTCCTCTTCTGCTATCACTCAGGTGCCTTCTGCCACCCTCTCATCCTTCACCCCTGCCTCACATGATTAAGCAGTCTTACTCCTGACCAAAGCTAACCTCTCTGCTTGCTTAAGTGATCCTATTCCATCTCCTCTCCTCCAAAAGATTGACCCCTCTGTTGTCCCCACTTTTTCCAATTATTTTCAGTCTCTTCTTGTCTAGTGGCTTATTCCCTACTACCTACAAACACTCCCATGTCTCCCCACACTGAAAAAAACCCATAATTTGATCCTTCCATTCCTGCTATCACCCTATAGCTCTTGTGCCCTTTGTAGTAAAAAAGGCTGTCTACAATAGGTGCCTCTACTTTCTCTCTTCTCACTCTCTTCTTAACCTCTCACAATCTGCTTCCAACCTTATCATTCCACCAAAACTGCTCTTTCCAAAGTTACCAATGATCTCTTAGTTGCCAAATCCAATGGCCTTCTCTCAGTCCTCATTCTCCTCAAACTCTCTGCAGCCTTTGGCACTATTCATTGCTCTCTCCTCCTTGATACTCTCTCCTCTCTAGGTTTTTGGGACACCAGTCTCTCCTGGTTCTCTTCCTACCAAGCCAACCACTCCTCCTCTCTCTTCTTTGCAGGATCTTCTTCTAGATCATGCCCTCTAACCATAGGGGTCCCTCAGGGTTCTGTCCAGTTCTCCCTCTATACAACCTTACTTGGTGATCTCATCAGTTTCCATGGATTTAATTACCATCTCCATGCTGATAACTCTCAAATCTACCTGTCCAGTCCCAAACTCTCTGCTGAACTCCACTTTCACATTTCCAACTGCCTTTCAGATATATCAAACTGGATTTCCATTAGACATCTTAAATTCACTACGTCCAAAATGGAATTCATTATCTTTCCCCTAACCCCTCTTCCCTCCTACCTTCCCTGTTACTGTAGAGGGCAACACCATCCTCCCAGGTCCTCAGGTTCACAACCTAGGAGTCATCCTGGACTCCCCATCCTCCATATCTAAGCTCTTACCAAGACCTGTTGATTTCACTTTCTTTGGTGTGCCCATTTCTCCTCTGACATCACCACTGCAATGCAGGCCCTCATCACCTCACACCTAGATCATTATAATAGTCTGCTAGTGGTTTTGCCTGCCTCAAATCTCTCTCCACTTCAATCCATCCCTCACTAAAGTGGTTTTCCTAAAGTGAGGGAACTATAGTATCACATGCACAATCCCTCCCTCCCCAACTCAATAAACTCCAGTGGCTCCCTATTTCCTCCAGGATCAACAACAAAATGCTCTATCTGGCACTCAAAGCCCTTCATAACCTAGCCCCCTCTTACCTTTCAAGCCTTTTTTTTTTTTTTTGCAAGGCAGTTGGGGTTAAGTGATTTGCCCAGGGTCACACAGCTAGTAAGTGTCAAGTATCTAATCTGAGACCTGATTTGAACTCAGGTCATCCTGACTCCAGGGCCAGTGCTCCATCCACTGTGCCACCTAGCTGCCCCTTTTCAAGCCTTTTTACACCTTACTTCCCAACACTGACTCTTCAATCCACACTGGCCTCCTGGCTGTCCCACAAACAAGATACTTCATCTCTTGCCTCTTGGCATTCTCTGTGGCAGTCCCCCAATGCCTATAACACTCCCTCCTCTGCTCTGACTACTGGCCTTCCTGGCTTCCTTTAAATTCCAACTAAAATCCCACCTTCTACAAGAAGTTTTCCCCACCTTTCTTCATTCTAGAACCTTCCCTCTGTTAATTATTTCATATTTAACCTGTATAAAGCTTGCTTCGTATATATTTGTTTGCATGTTGTCTCCCCCTTAGATTGTAAGCTTCCTGAGGGTAGGGACTGTCTTTTGCCTCTTTTTGTATCCTCAGTATTTAGCACAATGCCTGGCACACAGTGGGCCCATAATTGTTAAAAAGCAATAGACCCCTTTATTTGGTGTGTTTAAAGAGAAGTTATGTGGTTTAACCAGAGACATTCAAGATAGCATCAAAGGAGAGGTGGGGGCAACAAGGGAAAAGTACTAGGGCAGATCTACCCCCTCAAAATTGGGCAGCAACTGATACCTCCAAATTAGGGCAATCTGCTGACCCCTCCCTCCCCCTGCCCCGACCTCCCACATGCACATGCACACAGGATTTGTACTTCTAAAGCAACACTGTGCAGAGCAGGAGGGAATGCGATTTGGGATGCTGCCTGGGAACCTCAGGATCATGGCAGGAGGGGGTAGTTTATAATGGTCTTGTGAAAGGCTACTCTGAGACTTGGCACATAGTTCACCAAGCTCTCCCAGGGACTCCCGGGTTTATATTCTCTGCATGTGTCAGGACAGCTCCAAGTTTTATAGCGAGGGGTGGGTTCCCATTCAGGTGCATCTGCTTGGTTTTCCATGCCAAGGCTGTAATCAAGGAGATGCCAACCAGCTAGAAAATTAGACATTTGTTTAGCCTGGAAGCTTCTAGGTCAAGAAGATTAGAAAGTTCCAGAGAAGGGGAAAGAAAGGGATATAGGAGGGGAAAGGTTGCTCTGGCTAGTCAAGGTGATGTGGTTTGGGGTCCATCGGATCATAGATTCAGAGATTGAAGCAATCGGGTCCTAGAGGACCATCTCAAATATAGGTCATCTAGTCTAACCCCCTTCTTTTACAGATGAGGAAACTGAAACCCAGAGAAGCCCTTACTCACTCAAGATCACCCGAGTAATAAATGGCAAAGTCAGGATTTGAACGCAGGTCCTCCTCCACCAAACCCAGGACCCCTTCCACTTCACCCACACTACATAAACAGCTTGTTGGAAAGAAAGCAGGCATCCACTCCCCCCTCCCAAATAACCATAGAGAAATTTTTCTGATCCATAACAGTGGGAAAAAGTAGGATTCTACCTCAATTATTTTCATTCCAAGTCCAACACAATTACAGTTGAATAGTAATATTCCTGGCTTTATTCCCACTTAGTCATTTCCAGGAGCAACAAGCAATTAACCCACCCTCCCCCTTCCTGATTCCCATAAGAACAAGACTGACACATTCCATTCAAATTTCTTCTTTGGGCTGCACCCTTCCAACCCTAAACACCTTAAAATCTGATTAATAATTGCCCAGAAGAATGGTTACCTACATAGTGTTAAGGGATCACTTTTAAGCCCAGGGACCAAAGCTGATATTCCCTCATCCTGCAGATACCCAACCTGATTGTCAGGACCATCCTCTTTTAAGCTGAAACTCTGGGTCAACAAACATTCAGTTCAGAAAAACTCTGCCCCTTCCCTTTTGTTAAGTACCACTAAATCTCTCTCAAGCAAAGATGTGCCCTTTCCCTTTAGTGTGCCCAGAAATTCCAAGGCTTCATGTAATATTTATGCCTTTTATAAGAACATTTAGCCAAGCTGACAGTGCCCTCCCACCAAAATCACCTAGTATCTAACTTTATGTATTAAAAATCTTTAAATGTATATGTTGTCTTCCTTATCTCTATTGTGAGCTTCTAAAAGTCATTGACTGTCTTTTTTTTTTTTTGTCTTTATAGCCCCAGTGCTTAGCACAATGCTTGACACCTAATAATTAATAATTGTTGAGTCAGCAAGGTGGCCCTGGACGTAAGGTAAGGAACACATGAGTTAAGATTCTGCCTCAGACACTTACTAAGCTATGTGTCCTGGATAAAGCATATAACCCTTTCCAGCTCCAGTTTCTCTGTCTATAAAAAAGGGATAATAAATCGCCTACCTCACAGGGTTGTATTGAAGATCAAATGAGACAATATATGTAAAGCGT